AAATAACCTCTCTTTATACCTTCCTTACAAGTGTAGTTTAGTTGTAAAAGTGGTATAAAGAAAACATGTTTGCCTATTTACATATACATATATATGATTTGCATGGTGTAAAGTGCTTTAAGTTCCTCTCTTTTATTTGCATGCAAATTTTTACTCTTATTTTGTTGCACAAAAACTGCAATGGGACAACTTTTTCTATTGAGCAATAATTACGCCAACTTAATTGAATGAACCGATCAATTAGAGTAACATATAAAGCAACTGAAAAAATAACATAAAAAAAATTTCATAAATCTATATCTAAGACAAATATGCACATTGAACGGTAATTAATATGTTCGCAGTGTTACCGGAACTGCAATTGCAAATGGGTTAGGCGTGGCGTGTCGTTATGCGCAACGAATACGTAAAAAATGTCTTTTACGACATTCACCGTCGGTTGCTTACGAGTTGTCGCATAAGCGCGGTAAAAGTTAAATCAAGTGCGCGGTCAAGTGAACATATGTACATAAAATTGTACATTAGGGAGGCAAAAAAAAAAAATGTTAAGTCGAAATTCTTCTGCTCTCACCCCACAGGAATATTACATACCGAAAAACTATAGCTCATGATTTTTTATTTTGAAATCAAAAAATATGTATTTCAATTTTTCCACGTATTTTATTTATATGGGGGAAATTTTTTATTTTTTTAAATGATAAAGAATTCTTGAAAATGAATATTTTTCGATCAGTAGACTTCCAATATTTAATAATAACCGGCCAATAAAAAATCGTTAGTACTAAAAATTGGTGAAATGAACAAATATGTATTTTTTTTTGGAAGTCTCCTGAACAGAAACAGAGTTTTCCGATCGAAAAATTTTGATTTTCAAGAATTCTATACCATTTAAATGAAAACTGTTTTTTTTTCCATAAAAATTACATGGAAAACTTTGAGAGCTTTGGGTGACAACTACTATTTTTTTTAAGGTTTCATAATAAAAAAAATTAAAGATTTTTTTTTGGTTATAGAACAAGCTTAGGAGGTGAGAGCATTAAAATTCCGACTTGATTTTTTTAACACCCTATTGTACATATTCCTATATGCAGTTCCATATATGTACATTAGGGTGTCCGTCAATTTATTTATTTTTTTTTGAAATTTCACGACCCTACCTCCTTAATTCCTTCCTTTTTATGAGAAATAGTATTGCCTGTTTTTATAGATTTTTTAAAAATCATTTAGAGGTCGCGACATGTCATTTTAGGCCAGAAAATACGGTTTTGTAGATTTATCAGTTTTTTAATTACAATTTTTCATTAGATTTTAAAGATCGAACATATTGTGAAAAAAGGTTGAAAATCCCGACAATCCAAGTCTGACAATCGATTATTATGCATTATTTTAAAGGCCTAGAAATCCTCTTTTCGCAACATGTTCTATCTTTAAAATTGAATGAAAAACAGTTATTCAAAAACTGATAAATCTAAAAAAACCGTACTTTCTTACCTAAAATGACAATTTGATGGGCACCCTTATGTACCTACATATGTATGTATATATGAATTAGTACCCTGCAGTAAGTATAAGTAGTTCTCATCTACTGCCCTGAAGTGTCCTAACTGATTCCAAGGTGAATAAAACATGAGACCTTGCAACGCCTATTAGAGCTGCCATGTAAAGAAGCGCGATTACGCGGTAAGTGCTATCGTAAGCTTTTTCAAAAATTCCTCTAAGTTGTGTCCACAAAACGACGCAAGGGAAGGAAGAGATGTCAAAAAACCAATTTTTTTGCAATTTTGGAGGCACTAACGAGCTCGATTGCAATTGCAAGCTAGGAATTGTGTTGTTTCGATACGAGCAACTACGAGTGAATGCTCGATACTTACTTCTAGAAAAACTTCCTGCCTCAGATGATTACCAAGTAAGCAACTGCTTGCCTTAGAGTCAAAGGCAATTGAGGTGATTAATTTTTGTTTGTGAAGAGAACCATACGAGTTTTTGCTGTATTGGCTTTGAGTCCGTTCTACTCATACCTTTTTGGCATTTCCTATAAGTTCGCATAAAACCTAAGGGGGTGTTTACACACATTATACAACTAGAGCTAGATCATCCGCGTACGATATGATTTGAGATCCCAAAAACTCTAAGCGCTGCAACAAGTTGTTTATCGTCAGGTTCAATAGGAGCCGGGAGAGATCCCCTCCTTGCGTAGTGCCTCTTTACGCATTTCTCCTGAGTGGTGCTCACCTTATCGACGCAAATATTGCTCTATATGTATACCAAGGGCTCAGAGTTAAGGAGCAGCTTGTATATGTTTTTGTGAGAATGCTCTTTAAATACTAAACAATCTTACTACAAGAATGAGACATCTTTAATCTAACCCGATGATTCCCAAAGTGGTCCACCAGGGGTCCGCGGGAGACTCGATGGGGGTTTACGAGTTGGAAGTGGGGTTCACGAAAATGTATCTGGTTTCGATGGTAAAGAATAAAATGGATGGTATGGGTTTACCTATCAATGTACTAAAAAAAATTAAGGCAGGCTGTATTTCGGTGAAAAATGATCGCTTGGAGACTTAAAAAAAAACGTTCTAATTTTCATAATCTAAAAATTTCTAGTTGCTATGGTTCTCATGTAGTCCTGCCAAATTTGTGTTTTTTTTTATCCACGGGCTTGAAAGAAAATTTCAGTTAGGCCAGTATCATTTATATTTTCTAAAATAATGTCGTTTCTGTTGAAAGGGTAGCCGAAGAGCCCGGCCTGACAATGCTCCCCCCACCGAACCCCAGGACTTACTGCGTTCGGAGTGTACCACTCAGTAAATATGTCTCTCGAAGAAGACCAACTGAGGCGACAGAATGGTTCAGGTCCCGAAAAGGCAGTTAGCGATCCTTCTCATGCCAACTTGTCCTGGCCTGGTACCCAGCACAGTGTTACCGTGTTTTTGGCTGCCAAAATTTGTAGCGTGTCATAGCAATCTCTAAGCAACTTGGATTTTATAGTCCTGTTGGAAACGGCCCGGATGGCTGCTTGACTAAGTGAAAGACAACTAGAAAGGCGCCCTTTAAGCTTTTTTCAGGGTTTAATTTTGCACAGTTTAAAATTGCGACTATTTCTGCCTGAAACACCGTGGGCCATTTGTCCATGGGAATTGCAAGTTTGGTGCTAAGTCCAAAAGTACCTACACTTGCTCTGTCCTCCATCCTTGAACAGTCTGTATACCAGTGTTTGTATCTGAAATCAAGTCCAGGGAGCCCATTTGTCCGATCTTCTCGCCTCTCTTTAGGCATGGAATCATACTTACAAAAATTATTCTGTAGGCCAACATGGCGCGTGTGGCTTTAGAAACCATTTTCTCAAGATAGTACTTTCAATTAAGTCTCTTATCAAGCGTAGTCTCCAGATATTTGACCTCATCGGAGTATTCAAGCATTGTCCCTCCAAGACTTACCGAACGAAGGTGTGGTTTATACCTTGTTGTAAAATGGTACAAGAACAGCCTTCCGAGGAGGCCTTCATTGACACACCGGTTTGTGACCACGCGAAGATCTGCCGAATTTTCCCATAACTATAATTGTCAGGTCATCGTCGTACCGCACAACATCGTAACCACACTCATGCAGTCTGATTAAGAGGTCCTTTACCACAACTGACCAGAGCAAGAACCCCTGCGGGCAGCATCTAACGGCTCTTACCTTCACTAGATTATTGTCCAAGGACGGTCTAATTTCACGCTCACGAAGCATAGCGTCTATCCTACCAACAGTACTAGGGTCTAAGCCTCTTTGGACCAATGCGCTTGAGATGGGTCCATAGACAGTATTGACGAAAGTCCTCTCGATGCCCAAGAAGATACACAGAGCGATCTCGTTGGCCGCGAAATCACTTTAGATCCTACTAATCAGATACTGTAAGGCCGAATATGTTGATTTCCCTTTGACATAAGCAAATTGTGCGTGATGTAAGGGAGTGGAAGTGTTAAGCTTCTCCCTAACGTGGAGGTCTAAGAGCTGGTTAATTAGAGAAATTTTACAATGCTTGCATCCGCTTGGGACCAGTTTGAGTGCAGTCACAACGAATTATGAATTTTACGTCTCTCCCAATTTTGATACTTGAGTATATACTACATTCATATACAATAAGCAAAGGCAGCAGCGCGATTTGTTGAACGATGGCGGAAGACTTTATTTATGAGAATTTAACTTTTTTATTAAGTACAAGTTTTATCTTATTATTTTTAAGTTATGCACAGCGGATTGTGAATTAATATTGTTTTTGTTGTAATCATTACTACTATGACCAAATATAACGTGACACTATTCTCGTGAATATGTACATTTGTATGTGCAAAGGAGAGGCGTGGACAAAGTCAACCACGCGAGCAGTAGTAAGTAAGAACCTTTCGTTTTAATTGTTATTGGCTTTTTTTATCGAATCTGTTTTGTTTTTTTGTTTTGTTATGGTTGTTCAGAATGCTTGCAGTCATGCAGTTAGCGGGAGCGCTGTTGCGCATGCGCTTGTCAACACTATATTAGAGGAGACTGTAATTGTGCGTGCATGTGTGTATGTTTTCGTTTTTTTCATTTTAGATACTATTACAAATTATTGGTTTCTTATCGTAGCAACATTGAGTGTGTTGAGCCCACAAGCGGCTGTTTTGCATCTCATTAGAAGCCGGCAGTCTGATTTACGTAACTATTAGTGTTATGGTTTTTCAATCATTTGCAAATATGTACTTATGTATATGCAACTAATATTGAAAGTGCTCGATTGCTAATTATTAATGCCTGTGGCCGTATGCATATTATGAGTAATTGCTGGCTCAAGAAATGTTTTTTTTTTTCTTTTATGGGTGTATGTACATATGTGACATACAAGGGTGTCGACTTTATTGTCCACTCTCGCTTTCATCACGACAACAAGAAATCTAATTTAGTTTAGAATCGAGTTCCAGGTTTTGTTGTTTTGTATAAAAATCGGTGCGATTGCTGTGTTGAAATCAGAACGGAAAATTAGTCCAAACGGTCAAGTACTTAGAAGCAATTTAGCTTTGCAGCTTTCCAATAGTCAATCAAAATTAAAGTAGCAACAAAATGAAAGTAAGTGTAAAAAGTTTACAAAGAAAGTGTCCTGCGTGGAGCTATAAAGTAACCCAAATGAGACATAAAAGTGAAAAATTAGGAACGAAACTATAGTTACAGGATTAAAGAAAAAAATATATATAAATATAAAATACTTTCAAATGCCCAAATACATACGAATAACTGTGTTTGAAAGTGATAACGGACATACAAATAAACAAAAACAAAAAAAAAAATTGTTTCAATTAAAAGATTCCCAAAAACAGATAAGAGTTTTACTTACAAATACAAACAGTATATATATCATATATGTTATAAATAAAGTAAAGCTGGCAACTTCTACTAGCTGGCAAGCCAAAGCTAAAAAAATATTCTCAAAATTTAAATAAAAATTTAAAATAAAAGCAAACTTTAGGCTAGATTACCGAGTAGCTGGACATGTATTTGATTTATCGCAAATAAAATATATTTAATTTTGCACATTTTCTTGTGAAGAAATTTTAGTAAATAATTAGTTTAATTATGATTCGAGTTATTTTTTTATTAAAATTTTTTGTTATAACTTTTGTTTCTGAACTCAGCAGAATTTTAATCGTGATACTCAGATGTACAAGGTTAATAAATGGATAATTAAAAAATAACTTAAAAACCAAAAGAAAATTAAAATAATATAAAGATAACAAAAACATTGTAGTCTTTTGTACGAAAACATGCCTGTTAAGTTTTTTATTCAAAATAATATTCATTGTTTTTTAAAGGAACTTATTAATTTTGAAGAGTAAATTACTCTAAATTTATAAAAAAGTTTTATTTAATTAATATTTTTCTTTATTGAGATATATTAAAAATTATGAAATAAAACAGATAGAAATGATTTTTTGCAACTTTGCCGGTTAAACAATTTTTAATTTTTTTTAAACTCAAATATTTTTTTAATAAGTAGCAAATTAAAACTCAGCAATAGGTTGACAAAATTTTGAAAACCTAAACAGTTTTTAATTTTTTAATAATATTTAAAATTTCAAAGATTAACTACTAAAAAATATGTTCTTCAAAAATTTCGATTCAAAATTATGTCTTCTGTTTTTCAACCAATTATTAATTAATTTTGAAAACTAAAAAACAATTTGTTTTTCAAAAATTATAAGCTTTTTAATATTTTATTTTCGTTCATTAAAATTTTTGTAACTTTGCTACAACTGCTTATTTTCTAAAATTTGCCCTTTTTGAAATTTTTATTAATAATTATCAAAATTAAAGCTCAAAGAAATGTTTGAAAATTTTGAAAACAAAGACAGTTTAAAAATTTTTATGAAGATTATTTTCAAATTTCAAAAAATTTAACCAATTTTGAAAACTAAATAAATATTAGATTTTTAAAAATAGAAGGTTTAAAAATTTCTTTCTTTGTTTTTTCTATAAGTTTCCTCTTTAAAAACAATGAAATAATTTTTTAGAGTTAAAACATAGAATATACGTATGTATTTACAAATTAGAGAAGCTACATAAAAATTTGAAAGAAAGTTCAAAACTTACAAACTTAAAAAAATAGCTATAAAAACTTCGAAAAAATGTTTTATATTTTTATGAAAACATTGATTAACTAAAAAAAAATTTACTTTTTTTATAAATACAATTTTTTTAATTTTAATAATGATGTATGAGAAACGATACAGAATTTTTGTTTATTTTTCTTAAGAAAATTTATATCTTCAAATATTATATACATATGTACCTATATTTAAAAGATTTCGATTCAAAACGTTTTATATTCAATGATATTTATTAATTTTGAACAGTAAATATTTTTTTTTTAATGATTTAAAAATTTGAAATAATAAAATTATAGCATTTCACAGTCGGTTTCACTAGCATTTCCATATAAGATTAAAAAAATTAAAATCGTTTTTCACTTAAATTGCTTTCATGAGATTGGCTGTTAAAGTTTTCTGCCATTAATATTTATTTTTTTTTTTGTTTATGTTTTAAAACTTTTTTTCTATACAAAAAAAAATTGTTTGTACATAATAATTAAGACTTAAAACAGTGGTATATATTTACAAATTTTAAAGGCCAATACAGAGAAATGTATTTAAGGAAAACATTTAAGTAATAATAATTTTAATACGAACAAAAAATATTTTTTTAAGTTGTTGATTGCAGATCAAAAAATCAGCAGAAAGACAAAAATGTATTTTCAATTTTTTTCCTAAAAATCTTCACCTTTAAAGTCGGTCGGTTTTGAACTGTTTTTAATGAAAATTTGGCTCTTTGAAATTTAATTGAAAATATGGTTTAAAAAATTTTGGAAAATTGTAAAAATAATTGAAATGTGAAAAAATGATTTTTTTTATAAAAAATGCTTTCAATATTTTTTCAAAATTAAATAATAGTATTTAATACAAAATTAAATATTTGTACACACACATTTACATACATACATAACAAGTTTTTAAAGAAACAAATAAATTTAAGGATTTTTCATACAATACCGAAAAATATAATTTTTTAAGATATGTATTTTTTTCTGATAATTTTTCAAAACGTTTAAATGGTCCAGTCCTATATATTTTTTATGATTGAAATTTTAACAATATTCTAATTTTTCTCCCCTTCTCTCTTTTACTCACTTTGCATGCAGTTCGCCATCGCAGCCGTCTTCACTTTGGCACTCGCCATGGGTGTTCAATCGTCGATTCTGCCACTGTTGCCTGGCCTAACACAAATCGCCGGACACGGACTCTCTTACACTGCCGTCTCTGGACCATTGGCCGTTCCCATTGCTGTGCATGGCCCAGCAGCCGTCATCGCTGCCGCTTCACCACCAATCGTTGCCGCCCATGGACCTATTGTCCATCAAGTAGCTCACGCACCCGCTGTAGTGGTCGATCATGGCGCTCCAGTGCCCGGTGGTGCTTATGTTGCACAAACTCGTGGTGCTGTGCATACTGCTCCATTGCCAGGACACATTTCCTCAGTGGCTAATGTGAATGTTGCTCCAGCACCAGGCACTTTGTAAACGTAGTCATTATTCTAGCTGCCCATTCGACTGCCTACTCTTCGTTTCCCCACAACTGCTACTGGAATATTTAGTTAATTTGTTGCGTAGTGGTGACACGGCTTACTCTATAAGGACCTGAACGAGAAATACATACATACATATGTAGCTGAGCACAAAAGTGAAGTTGAAACACATAACTGCCAACAATGTCAGCGATAAAGCACACTTGTACATATGTACATATGAAACTGTGTGCAAAACAAAATATACGAAACGAGCAATAAAAAACGTACTGGTCAAATTCCATAACATTCATCTCTGCAACAACAAATGCAAACGCAACAATGCAACGAACATTCATTCGTGTCTCATACATACTTACAAATCATTCCCATTGCACCATATCCATTGCGCATTCCCCCCTTTTGTTTGTAGGCAATATCGTAATTTCCTTTTTCCATCGAAGCTTACTTTTGTACAATGAATATTTCTTCTTTCTGCACATACTTTTAAAAAAGTAAAGTTGTAAATGAATAAAACGAATACAACTGAAAAACAAAAAAAAAACGGATTTTGTTTAATTTTATTTAGTACAAAGATTTCATAAAAAATTAACTGCTAGTTTTATCAGCAATTTAAGTGAAAAATTACACAATTACAAATCTTGAAAAGTGTTTTCATGGGCGAAATACACTCAGCGGTTTGCCATTGCCTGCCGAGGGGCAACCGCTCTTAGAAATCACTTTTTCTAGTTTAGATGCTGCCTGGGCCAGGGTTCGAATTCAGGTCCTACGGAGTGGTTATTATAGGCACCTCTTAGCCACTTAGCCACAGCGGACGACTCACTAGATACACTCCTAGAACCGTCGGGGTTGCCGTTGATTCAACTAGAGCAAAGGGTTCCTAGAAAACGGAGACACTGAATAAGCTTTCGCCTTCGGATTATCTACTTGTAATATGGGTCCCAGGTCATAGGAACATACATATGTTTAATGCAAAGAAATAGTGAATGAACATGCAAATCAATGAAATTCAAAGTAGACTTACCACTTAAAAGCTGAGCGAAGCTTATCCTGTGACCCATTTAAAACTAAAGCTCATGTCAGATGAAACTTTGTGGCTTTGCTTGACATTTACGACTTTGCCAGCAAAGCACCAGACGCAAAAGGTATGCCACAATGAACGCCAAGATAACAATTTTTTACTGCTTTTTTACTCGTCAAAATTGCTGTGGATTTTATATATTTTGCTTAAAAATATCAGCAATGTAATTAAATTTTATGTTTCTGCATGAAAACTCGAATTTCTACAATTTTTATTGGCGCACCCGAAACATAAACATGAAGAAAGAAATATATATATATAAATGCATAAGGAATACTCTGTAAAAATCTTAAATGTCAATATTTAATTACTTTGAAATAATATCGCTTTTAAATTAAAGCGTGCGAGTAAACGTGTTACTAGATGACAGCGTATGGTGCTACGGGGCGTATACGTTACATACGCAACTACGGGTATATGAGCATGAGTGGGCTTATTTTTACTTATTACAAGCTATTATTTTAGTATAAAGTTTTTAAGTTTTCATTTAAATATTTTGCTATGGAATTTCGTTCTTTATACAAAACTAAAGATAATGCATTTTATAAGATAGTGAATGACCCCTCTCTTCTAAGAGAATATACCCTTCGTGACCGCTTTTTGAACCATATAAGCCAAGTCTGTGTAGAAATTCGACAGGTCGTACTTTGACTCCATCTTTCTTCAGCTTGTTTGTATACAAATTTTCTAAGTAGCAGCTTATAAGCATACAATTTCTATACTTTTAAAATGAAAAATGCCTGAAAAACTCACAATTGCACCTAGTTTACCATCACTGGCGGAAAACACCTAAAATTGCATACAAATATGATTTAATTCCACTGTGTTATATCGGTTAGAAAACATATTAACCCCTTTATCTTAACTGTCTTAAAATATCGCTTGAAAGTGTATACGTTATACAAAAATAATGTCTACATATGTATATTCTGATTTACAAAACTAATTAATATGAGAATGTTTGAATCGCACAATTAAGCCAACTGGCATAACAAAGTTCGAAACTGAGCTTGCCACAACCAAGGCCATGCAAGTTCAACGTTAATTGGATAATTAAAATCAAAAGCGGACACTTTTATTGTAAACGCTATTTTACGAGAAATATGAGAGCAAGAATGCATGTATAGGGTGCTTTATTTGGAGTGGAGAATTTTCTACATTTTTACATTGTGGGAATATTTCGAAGATATTACAGTTATCAAAATATGTCAAAATTGTGGTCATGTCTGCTCCGCAAAAAAGAGATCAATACGATAATTAGTTATTTTCCAACATGATTCATTTATAAGATCCATTCATTTCCGATAAAACTGCAATTTCTCCGAACAAATCCTTGAGGTGCTGGTAAACGATGAAAGTAGGTCTCAAGAGAATAGGAATTCACTCTCATTTTCACCGTCTAATTAGTAATGAGAATGGGTATTCATTCTTATCGTGGAATTCTCATAAGTTCTTATGACTGGAATATTCTCACCCGTATAAAAAGTGTAATTAAGAGCTTTCTTACACTCTCACCCATATTCTCAGCTCTCATATGCTACATGTTGAGAATGTTTATTCTCAGTTGTACACAGTGTGAGAAGCCTAATAAAGCAAGACTGATTGAATACAAGATTGCGCCAATCAAGCTGTGAGACGTGTGAGGGTGTGACGTCATAAAAGTGAGAGAATAACGGAGCAAAGAGTAAATTCTAAAGAAGAAGAAGAAGAAAACTCGAAACCATTCTTCAGCCTTTTTAATTTGAACATGTATACGGTACAAGCACACCATTTTAGGTACATCTGGAAGGTAGCAAAATAACTTGTCGGGGAAATTTTATATTATTTTTATAGGCATTTCAGCGCATTTTCACGGGTTTGAAACTTTTCCAATAGCCTCCCTTCTTTGTAAAAGAGCATAAGCATTGGCTAAAAAATAGTTTTGGCTGCTCGGAGGAGTTCCTTCTAAGGGTATTTTTAATAGCAAAGAGTGCTTGACATGAGTAGCGAAGTAGTCCTCGCTTTTTTATTAAAATTTTTGTTTATATTTCACAACGTCCACTATGGTATTTAAAATATAGTATTTTATTGTTACTTCAGACACCAGAAGCAACAGAAAAATACACGTAAATGCTACCATCTTTTTTTATTTGCCTTGCTTTTTCCTTAAAAAAATTCTGATTTATAGATTTTATGCTTTTATGCTCGGTTCCTCCTAATAGAATACCCTATACATTAAAGTATTAAAATTTCTATCAAGTACAGGCAATTTGCAATTTGAACTACATGCAAACGTAGTGAGTACTCAAATGACCCTCTAAGCAATGTAAGCAGGTGGATATTTCAAACGAGTTTGTTACACTTAACTAGCATTTATAAAGTACTCGTAATAATTATACGACACTACTACAACGCCTCGTTCATACATTCCTCTTAAATATTCATCGTCTATCGCTTTGGTAGCAACCGGCGAATCTAACTAAATCCACAGTGCATTTGGCTATCATACGTAGACGTGCTTTTATATTGAAGTGTAAATAAAAATGTCTACTTTATAATCTAGCGAGTAAAAATCTCAGACTGTAAAGTTGAAAACGGCAAATGCAATAATTAGAAACCGGGCGTTACAAGTTTGCTTTACTCAATGCTTAGTTTTTATTGCTTCCATATTTAAAATCACAAAATTTTTTCTATATAACTGTTTCATCAATAAGTTTTTTTCATAAACGAATTGAGAATATCTTGAAGTATTTAGAATTCGAAAATAAGTACCGTTTTTAATTAAAATACCGAATTCGATTAATTAAATATAATTACGGTTTTAATTAGAGATTTGCTTAGTCAATTCGGTCATCTTATTCATTTACATATTTATAACAAGTACATACGTACGAGGATGAAATTACGATAATATACATACACTAGGATGGAGCGTCAATGTATCGATAAAAAGAGCTGAATTCGAATGAAGGCTATCCAGCCAATTTTTTATTCCCTACGATGATGACTTCCGTTCATCCGTTATTTGTTACATACACGTTATTTGTTGCATACATACATACATACCACACCGAAAGTGATAGCTCCAAAACACAAATATATTTTCGCAGCACAGCTTTTTTAACCTGTTTCGTTAAAGATCCGAATCGTAGTATTCCATTGAATTAGACTTTTAAACAGGTGGCAACCCTATTTAAAAGTATCTCTAAATTACATTGTTGTAGCATCATACAAGTTCCCCAAAGAGCCTGGCTAAATAAAAATCTGGGTCGTTCCGGTTACGTGGAACCGGCTGTCGTGGGAACGAACCATCCACCTACTGTTGGTGGGTGCCCTGGTCATTCTCTCAACTTCTGAAGACAAAAGTCGCAGGGCAGGTTTTACGCTCTAGATCGTTCCAAAAGTCCAACCTCGGATCCTTTTCTGGCGCCTTCGCCCACTTACTCATTTCCCGGGACCCACTACATGCTATGACCCGTGACCCAGTAAAGATTAATTATCTGTTGCTGTAAAGCTTGTAGGGATCTACGGCATTCCTTGATGCATATCCACCCTAATTCTATGAGGGCAGTTTGACTGTTAGCAACGGAGGTAAGTTTAAATGAAGCTGGGTCGATCGTGCTCACCATCTTGGCCGCCCTGTCGATTGCATATATCTCAGCCTGGACAAAACCTGCAGTGATCTGTGAGTCTATAGGACTCTCTTAGAAATAACTCGGGAGAGAAGACGCCATATCGTGTTTCAATTTACATTTTGGAGCCGTAAAAATGCAAATATTAAACTACCAGTCACTTCCGTCGGGAAAATAGATATCAAAGTTTCGATCGAAGCCAGTTCCCGTGACCGGATAGTCACGGCTACTGTACTCAACTCCCACTCTGTCGAAGATGGTGGCTTGACCCTTGCATACTGTTAGACGCCCTGAGTCGTAGAACACTTTTAGGCGCCGAATTTTAACATATATGTCTATGCGTGGCATGTCCAGGAGTCTCTCTGGCGCCGCCTGAGGTGTTGAGTAAACCGCTCCCGTTATGCATAGGTATGATTGTCGTTGCACCTTTTGCAGGTTGAGTAGATAGGCTTTGGTGTCAACTGCCTACCATCATACCAGCGCGCCGTAGGTGAAAATAGGTCTAACTACCTATGTACCAGTGTATTATCAGCGGTCGCAGCCCCCAGTATTTCCCAATCGCATTCGGGGCTTTTTATCTCCGCTCTTCGGATTCCTATTCCAGGAAAGTTTAGAGTCGAGAATATCCAACCCAAACTGTGACAAACGTTAGTTTCCATACTAATTTATACAATAGATAAGTCATAATTCTTGTCTTGAAAACTTCATAACGGTTTTTGAAAAAAAAAAACTTCAGCTAGAGAGTTGAAAGGCTCCACAAAAAAATTTTAAGCATCAAACCTCTTTGGGAGTCACAGAAGAAAATACATAAAAACAGTAAAATTGTTACC